TATATATATATATATATATATATATATTAATGAAATAAACAATTTATAAAAATTTCAATAACAGTTTACATGTTTTAAAATACTTAACACATTATTTGATATATTTTTTGTATGGTTTACGCTTTTAAAATTTACAAAGGAGGAAAACGTTGCAGCAACGTTGTATGCACAACTTTTATTGAAACACAAATTGTAGCCTAAGTAATATGTTTGCTTGTTTGTTTGTTTGTTATGAATTTCGCGCAAAGCTACGCGAGGGCTATCTGCGCTAGCCGTCCCTAATTTAGCAGTGTAAGACTAGAGGGAGGGCAGCTAGTCATCACCAACCACCGCCAACTCTTGGACTAGTATTTTACCAACGAATAGTGTGATTGACCGTACCATTATAACGCCCCCACGGCTGAAAGGGCGAGCATGTTTGGTGTGAGAGGCCATGCCGGGCCTAATATGTTTGCGCTTTGTGCTGTGCAAGTACTTATTATTTCAATTATTTTATGAAGGAGAATATCATATATCTTTGATTTTACTGTTCGTAGTTAATTATATATACAGTTATCACTAGTTGTCAGAGTGTTCTTGGCGTGGAAATGACCAGAGTTGTATTTTCATAAGAAATACGTAGCTCAAATGTGCTCTGTAAAAAGAGATGAGACAAGTGTGTCGTTTTGTCCCTTTGAGCCATATCATTAGATATCGAAAGTTGAACTTTACTATGATATGGTCAAAGGTCAGTTACGTCATAAGATATCGAAAGTTGAACTTTACTATGACGTAACTGACCTTTGAGCCATATGCTATATCTAGGTTTTGAAATGTATTGCTTTTTTTATTATTATTAAGCCTATAATTCTTTTACAGAGGCTCGTAGTTGTGTGTTTAATGTGACTGGGCAGGCCAGGTTGAAAGTGGCTGTATTATGTTATAGTAACAGAAACGCCCCTCTGCCGGTGGCTGTTTGCACTTGTAATTACTGATCGTAATATTCATACCTCATTGACAAAAAAATTAGGAAAGTGAACATTTTCTAAAAAACATTTTCCTGGGAAGTACTGCACAGGAAAATTGTTCGAATTATTCTGATATAAACTGTAATGTTTTTATTTACTAAAAGAGGTACCGTTTATTGAAAAAATAACAGTTTTTTTTTGAAGAACTACAGTTTCTCAATACTACGTTTTAAAATTACATCAATAAAGATATGATCAAACCCTCACGTCCAGTCCTAGTGAAAGTTGTTTTCTTGTTGTGAGGAGAGTACTTTTATATAAAAATTGCTTTTCTGTGAAAAAGAAATAGTTGTTCCACATACCGTAGTTATTTTTCTGTCTGAATCTTGAATATCCAAAGTGTGAAATTTTGTTATGGATTTTTGTTTGTAGTGTCATTCAATAAATGGCACCACACTGTAGTTGTTATTTCGGTCACATACATAGATAGATACATACATATATACACGCTACGTCCATTATGGTAAGATTGTTAAAATCTCCTGATATAAATGGTTTCTCCCCTTCCCAACACATGGCAAGAGAGATGAGAGAAAGAGCAAAACACGGAACTATTCTGAAAAGTGCAACTCTCTAACTTTTGTCACTAGATGTCACCCGATGATGGATAAATATCTGTTGAATAACATACTTGTAAACATAGTCTTGTAGAACTCTCTCTAAGGAAAAATAAAAGACACGAATGAACTAAATTTATTGCCGAAGGCAAGGACATAACTTAGAGGCGTGGCCTAATGTTATTGTGCTCAGCTGCAGATAAGAAGGTCCAAGGCTCGTGCCACACTTTCAGCTTTGGGTGCATTATAAGAGTGACATAGTCAATACCGTTAATAGATTCAAATCCAGACTAAGTTCTTGTAACTGTGAGTGTTGTTGAATGACTGCCCTTTGGTCAGTAGCTGAAAGCCAGGGATGACTATATATATAACCTCTAGGATTCCTACATCTCAATATTTTGTACATGTATGTATAAAGTGGTGTTTTTGGTTAAAACTACCAATACTAACGACATAATTGAATAAGTAGAGTTGTTTAAACATTTGTTTAACAACAAGCAAAAGCTTGGAATGGTCTATTCTTTCATTGGGGTGTGTGTCTGTGAGCCAGATTAGGTTAAACAACTCTACTTATTCAATTATGTACCAGCTGCCCAGTGTCGGCTAACAATACGAAGAATTAAATTGTGGCGGATTGCTACAAGTTCTTCAAATACCTATATAATGATAGGTTTATTTTTTGTGAGTGTAAATACACCATTTTGACTAACGACATATTTTCCTTGTTTTAACATACATATAGTGGTGGTATTTTAATATTAAAATTCTGGATCTCTGCGGTTGAAAAGGATCCCAATTAATAACAATGGTGGGCATTGGTGATAGATTGTCTTTGGGTGTGGGGGGGGGGGAAGAAAAAAAGGCATTTTATGTTCCCAAACTGTGGCCGGGTGTAATCTAGTGGTTAGCGTGTCTGGACTTTGAATCTTTATTCGTTGCCACAAAACAAACATCCACACTTTCCTTGCTGTCTTGGATGCGTTAATAGAAGTGACAGATAACTAGGAGTTATACCTCCCCTAAATTCAAACTAATTCATTATTCTGAAATCTTAAAAGCAACTTTGATTTTATTCTCAATTTTCAGGATCAGCCTGGTTTTCTCTATAGCCTTGCTATTTCTGTGGTACTGTGGTGAAGTAGAAGGCCTACACGTAGGTGGAAGTCTGAGCTTCTCTGGCGTTCTGATAATTAGCTCATCAGTAATATATGACGTCATGATGCCCAAGATGCCCTTAACCATCCGTTTTCAGGAAGGAGTTCTATCTTTTTCTTATAGCTGGTCGTTTTTCTTAGCATTTTCTGTTGGTAAGTATATTTAGGTATTGAAATGTTCAAGTTTATTGACGCAGGACTACATTTAATACCAGGAGATATGATTTTTTGTATTACAAAATGGTCTCATATCGTAATGGACAGGATAGTTCAGTTGGTAGAGCACTAGATTCTGAAGAACTAATGTGAGATGAGGGTGCTGGTCAGGTCAAGCTGAGGGTTGTGGGTTTAAGTCCTGGTCAGGTCAAGCTGAGGGTTGTGGGTTTAAGTCCTGGTCAGGTCAAGCTGAGGATTGTGGGTTTAAGTTCTGGTCAGGTCAAGCTGAGGATCGTGGGTTTAAGTTCTGGTCAGGTCAAGCTGAGGGTCGTGGGTTTAAATCCTGGTCAGGTCAAGCTGAGGGTTGTGGGTTTAAGTTCTGGTCAGGTCAAGATGAGAGTTTTGGGTTTAAGTTCTGGTCAGGTCAAGCTGAGGGTTTTGGGTTTAAGTTCTGGTCAGGTCAAGCTGAGGGTTTTGGGTTTACGTTCTGGTCAGGTCAAGCTGAGGGTTGTGGGTTTAAGTTCTGGTCAGGTCAAGCTGCGGGTCGTGGGTTTAAATCCTGGTCAGGTCAAACTGAGAGTTGTGGGTTTAAGTCCTGGTTATGTCGAACTGAGGGTCGTGGGTTTAAGTACTGGTCAGGTCAAGCTGAGGGTTGTGGGTTTAAGTTCTGGTGAGGTCGAACTGAGGATCGTGGGTTTAATTCTTGGTCAGGTTAAACTGAGGGTCGTGGGTTTAAGTCCTGGTCAGGTCAAGCTGCGGGTCGTGGGTTTAAGTCCTGGTCAGGTGAGATTGTTTAACATTTTGATTCATGAGGTAGGCTTCTTACGATGGTAGTTTTCTAAGATAATATTAATATTTATTTCATAAAATTAAACAAATATAAGTCAGAACTGATTGTTTAGTTTGAGTTAAAAATTTTAATATTTGTGTTAAAATATAAAGTCTTAGTAAGCTCAATTTTCTTTATCAGTGATAAATTGACTTTGGAGAATGGATGTTTGCGTTATGATTTGGTATTTATTGTGTAGGCCACTTATTTCCAAGTTTAGCATAATGGTGCCTGTTGTCGCAAAAAAAAAGATAATCCGTTGTTTTTTGGAACAATAGCATGAGCAAATAAGTGGATAAAACACGTCATTAAGTACAAAAATTAAAAGTGGCATCCTGAAGATATAAAAACTGGTAAATGAGAGGCCAAAATGAGATGTTGGGTTACGATGGTAAGATACAATCAAAGGATAAGTTATGACAAAAAAAGTCATGTTGATATAAGACAGTAAATTTTGATTGAGGAAGAAGTTACAATGAGCGATCTAGATGAGGTGTTATAGTAAATGTGGGTGAAGAATTAAATAGAAATCAAAGCACATTTTAATTCGTAACGGATAGCTGTGCACAGGTGGCTGAGTGATAGTTCTTGAAAACAAGGTAAGCCTAACGTGAAATGTGGTTTGTTACATTATGTGCAATATCTTGAATGAACTACAAACTTGCTAGAGATTACATAAACAATGCAAAATACTTCCACAAAATTAAGAAACAGATCACCCTACTAATTTTATATTTTATTATTCTAGGTTTTGTTTCGTCAGCACTCGGTATATTAAACATGGCAGCTTCAAGAGATATTTATAGGCCAGAATATTGCCACATTCCCTGATGCATTCCCTTAATGCATTCCTGACCGTCACTAGAATATGCTGTACGAGACTTGCCAATATAATTGTTTTCATAATTAACATAAAATGAAGTTAGACCAGAGTATTGAAAAAATCCATACTAAAACAATAGATATAAAATAATTTATAAGTATTTAAAAAGTAGGATTTACTGTTTTATACCTCTTGGAGCGTAAACACTTTTTTAAAGCCTAATAACAATAGAAGTTTTCGATTTCATAGTACTTAACATACTTTTAACATCTTACTGATCATAATATAACTGCATGATGATGTAATTTATGGAAATCTATGTGTATGTTCCTAAGTTCAATAACAATGAATAATCTTTCGTTTTTGGCATTAATTTCTGATTCTTTTAATTTATCCAAATCTGTGAATTCAAGGAACGTTTTAAAACATCAGTACAGCTAATACAAATAGCTGAATAATAAATGATTGTATAACCCTAATTACTGTACATTTCATGAACAACGTATTTTGACTAAATTTCGTGCCAAAGTGATATTTGTAAATGGATTTACATTTTAGGACTGCAACATATAAACAAATTCATTTCAGTTAATGTATCCCTGTAGGTTTTTATTAAAGCATTTATTGTTAAACTAAAATGGTATTTCTTGAACAACTTTTTGAGAGTAAGATATCTTCTTCCACGTAAAATATTACCAATTTTCTTTTTGTATTATTTTAAAAACTGGCGAGTTATTCTTATATATCTAAGATATATCGATTACCAAACAAGTTTTCAACTTTTCATTCCTTGAACACAGCTAGTATATGTTTGACTTACACATTTTAGTCGTTTTAACAAAATGTGTTAATGATAAATTAGCTAATTACTAACTAGTACGTGATACGGAAGTTTTTCTTGTAATTTCAAATCCCCTGGTGGAGGACATTGCTGTGTAGCTCACCTGGGGGAATACATTACTGTGTCATATCTCCTGGTGGAGGACATTGCCGTGTAGCTCATTTGGTGGAAGACATTACTGTGTCATATCTCCTGGTGGAGGATATTGCTGTGTAGCACACCTGGGGGAAGACATTACTGTGTCATATCTCCTGGTGGAGGACATTGCTGTGTAGCTCACCTGGTGGAAGACTTTACTGTGCTATATCTCCTGGTGGAGGATATTGCCCTTTCAAACTCCATGGTGGAGGACATTGTTGTGTAGCTCATTTGGTGGAAGACATTACTGTGTCATATCTCCTGGTGGAGGACATTGCTGTGCAGCTC